TTCTACATGTCTTAACAGTATAAAGAATGAATAAACCAGTCTTATAAACTCCTTGATTTCGCTTAAGCAACTTTAAATATAATATGCATGCACAATAAACTATTGTAAAATTTATTTACATCACTCAACAGAAAGGTTTTTGCAGGTTTTAATAAAATGAAAATTAAGAACAGTCATAATAAACAAGTATATTTCCAGTACGCGCCTCAGGCTTGCACAGTATCGTCAACTCAGGCGCCGACGCTGATGGCTGCCTCCGTGGCGTGCTCCGCAGTTGTTTTTATGTTTTTGATAACTTTTAGGGCATGTGTCCACCACAGCATTTTTTCCAAAGTTTGGCGTATGCTGTCAATTGTTTTCAATAGGAGCTCCAAGTTTTTCATAAAAAAAATGACGCTGAAGCGCTCTGAAGCACTCACATGTAGGCATTTTTAGCAGATAGCTTGCAGTTTTTAGGTGGCTAAAAACGCTTTGGTGGACACACGGCCTTATTTTTTTGTGAGGCGTAAATTACTGTAATTTCTTTCTTACTTTGGAATGTAATGGCTTCTTTTCTGAAATTAGGTAACCTCATTGACAATGGTCCACAAATGGCACATCCTGCAAAATGGGATACACCTGAAGACAGAGTTATACCCAGAGAAGACAATAGAAACACAGACAGGGCTACCAGTGCAGAACCCTGACATTAATGATAGGCAAATGTATTAAACTGAATGGGAAGAGATGCATATGAAAAGGTAGATTGTAGTTTGATTGCTTCTATTGCAACGTCTCACGCATGACACCGCATTCTAAAAACATGGTGCTCAAGCTGAAAAAAGTGTACTTTTTAAAAAACATCTCGAGAACTTTTTTTTTTTTTAATCCCTCCACTGCCCTCCTAAACGCAAAATTGTGTTCTGTGTGTATGGCCCCAACAATGTTCTCTGGCTGTCTTCCATGCACTGCTATTTTCTTCAAGATATGTGAATTTAGTTGTTGTCATTTTGTCAGGATGCTGCAGAGCAGAGAAAAGCACAGATACGTCAGGCAGACCTGTCTCGGCAGAAGAACCAGAACCTCAGTGAGCTCGAGGCAGAGGCAAGGGACCGGGCTCAGTACCTGTTGGAACGGGCCAACACCCTGAGAATGGAACAAGAGGACGAGGTCAAGAAGCTCAATGAGGTAGATAAGACCACAATGAAAAGCCAAACCATAGCTGCATCACATTTCGGAGGCTGCGTCCTCCGGAGGTCGCATTTGTTGGCCGCATACATCGAGGCGGTCTCATTTATGAAAAGGAAGTCATGTTTAAGAAAAGTTTAGCCATGAGACCTCCTCAATGACATATGTGGCCAACAAATGTGACCTCCGGAGGACGCAGCCTCCGAAATGAGGTGCAGTGCATGACCTACTTACTGTAATGTTGCCTTTGCCTTTGCCTTTGCCTTCGTTGCCTGCAGTTAATTCAGGAAGTGCAGTGCCATGTTGTCCGGGATGTGCAGATTCAGGAGAAGAAACTGAACAGTGCAGAGTGGCTGGAGGAAGAGAAGAGACTGGATGCCATGATGGAGGTGGAGCGCCGCCAGGCCTTAGAAACCCAGGAACAAATTGAACAGCTGCGAAAGCAGCAAAGGATTAAGTGAGGATGTTCACGCTCTGTATTCTATATACTCTAAATACAACGCACTGTTCCCTATGGTTGATGTGTGGGTGTTATTAAAGTGGGAAGCTGTGCATCCTGGACCAGATCCAGATGTGTCTGGAGGAGAAAATGCTACAGGATGAGTTGAAGGAGCAGGAGGGTCAGCAGTTGTTGGAAAACATGGAGAGGATGCAGATGGAGGAGCTCAAGGTACATGCAATGAATCTCTAGATCAGTTCAAATTATGAATGGTTTAATAAAATAATTATAAATAGTAACTCACATAGATAAGTGTGTGTGAGTACATCTCTGTGTGTGATATTATCACAGGTCATTGAAAGGAAGAAGGAGGAGCAGAGGAATTTACTTCAAGAGATTCAGAAGATAAATGAAGAGAATTTGCTTGCTAAAGAGCAGAAAAAGGAAGAAGAGAGATTAGCAGATCTGCGAGCTGTAGAGTATACACGCAAGAAATTGGTAAGAAAAGTCTTTAATGGCTTTCTCTCTATCTTGCTTCTTTCATCACCCACCACAGTAATCTTAAACTAGGCCTTTAAAATCAGAGGCAGACTCTTCATGCAATTTTTGCATTTTTCATTTAAATCAATTAAATCAATTTCTTTATAAAACACACAACATAAAAGGAAAAATATCAAAATAACAGATACACAATAACAGAACACAAAAAATGAACAAACAAACAAAAAGGTTTTACATGTAATTATGTGTAGTGTGTGAGTGAGGTTGTGTTGTGTGTGCAAAAAAAGTGAAAAAATCTTCCCAAGCTGTCCCACAGCTAATCAAAAATCTAAATGAAAAGCACAAAAAGAGAGAGAAGACAAATGTATCTTCTAAAAAGAGAGAAAATATATATTTATACCAGGGTGAATATAAACATGAAATTGTCCAGCCAAGACTTTCACAGCACTATAAATATGAGGTAACACAAAGGCCAAATTCCCTTAATCATCCACCACAACCCTTACAGAAAAACCACATGAACCAATCACATGTTAAAATCACATGTGAAATATGTGAAACACATGGGGGGTTTTCTGTAAGGGAATGAGTAAAACCAAAGAAAATAGTTATGATGTGCAGCAAAAGATTGTTGAGCTTCACAAAATAAAAAGTGGCTGTAAGAAAACAGCTAAAGCACTGAAAATGCCCATTTCCATCATCAGGGAAATAATGAAATAGTTCCAATTAACAGAAAATGTTATGAATCTGCATGGAAAAGGACAAGTCTATATTGTATTAATGCAAGGTGAGGAGGATAATTTGAGGGTTCAAAGACTCTCCAAGGATCACAGGTGGAGAATTGCAGGAAATAGTCGAGTCTTGGGATCATAAAGAAAAAGAAAAAAAGAAAAATCACCTACACCACCACAAGTTGTTTGGGAGTTTTTTTTTTTTTTTTCAAGAAAAATAAAATGCTCTGCTCTCATCTAGAAACAAACTTCAGTATAATTAAAACGGAACTTAAAAATGGGAGTAGGTTCTATGAAAACTAAAAAATGAGCTTTTTGTCAGCAAACACTCAAAATGGGTTTGGTGCACACAGTGATAAAAAAGTACCCCATGAGTACACTTAAATATACTGCTGTATTTTTTATGTTGTGGGCCAATTTTTCTGCCGGAGGTCCTGGACATCTTCTTCAGATACAATCGTGGCACCCTTTGTACATAAGAACAAAAGAAGCCTGTGAAAATAAATCTGCATTGTTAATTCTTTTGATCTTTTTTTTTTTTTAATCCCTTTTGAAGTACAAGTAGTGTCTGGCCACTGAATAGGCTTGATTTTGTTTTTGGATGACAGCAGAGGATTATTTTCTTGAAATCCTCCCAAACAGCTTGTGTTTTAGGTGCTGTTTGAATTTATTATTATTTTTTTTTTGCTTTCTAATCCCAAGACTCAACTATTTTCTGCAATTCCACAGCTGTTATCCTTGGATTCATAAGATTTCCTGTTGATTGGAATTTCTTCATTATTTCCCTGATGGTGGAAATGGGAATTTTCAGTAATATTTCAGTAATTTTCCTTTACTTACAGCCACTTTCTATTTTGTGAAGCACAACAATCAGAGCTATTCTTTGGTTTTACTCATTGGCACCAATAATTCTGACCACGATTGTATATACAGGTACAGTACAGTAAGACAAGGGTGTTTCTTTCATTGCTTTGTTTTCTTCAGTTCTTGATTTGTTCATATATACATGTACATGTATAATACTTTATTATACATGTATACAATGTATACATATGTACACAATATGTATGATTAAATCAGTCATATAATGTGAAATCAAATTTTTCCTGATCTTTTTTGAAAAATAAAATAATTTATAAACTATGTAGACTTAAATAAGTCAAAACTCTTTTGAAAATAGAATAGACATGATTGAAAATCAGATTCAAAAACGTCTCTTTCAGAAATCTGTGACTTTGTGAAGATGTTTTATGGCTTCATATATTAACACATTTATACCTGCCTGTTCTGTATTTAGCCACCAAATAGGCCCAGACAGCCACAGTGAAGTAAGGAGATTCTAGGATAGATACTGTAATGGTTATTGTGTTCTGAACCTTATGCTGATGAATAATTAATGAGACTGATTGGGGGATGAGGAACACCTGGGGTAAGATGCATATTCAGAGACTGTTTGCAAGCAGATGCTTAAGAAGAGCGAGGAGAGCGGATGAGCATGTTTTTTAGTGTCTGTTTAGGTCACAAACGGCGAGGAGAATGAGGGGGCATTTATTCTATAGGGAGAGGGGTATCGTTCATGTTTGTGTAGGGCCGCTGATGATGAAGGTTGTGTGTAGATAGGGACAGGGTGGTAGGAGTGCTGCCATTCCTCAGTCTGACGACATTATCATAATGTGGGGACCTGTAAGTGTAAAGCTAATGTACATTGCCCTCTTCCAAATCAGATGTTTACATAAAACTATTATAGCATTTAGACCTCTAAATGATCTACTGACTTTTCACCACTTCCGAATTGGATGTGTTCATGAAATTGAGAAGTTCATACCTTTAATATTGTCACGGTCGGTGGTAGTGTGAGGAGCGCGGAACGAGGAGACCAGGAGTACAAAACAAAGGGATTTATTCTTGTCACAGGGAATCACACGTAGCACGAGGAGAAGACATCAACATACAATTCCAGACAAGGGAGAACAGAACGGGCTAGAACTAAATAGGGCTTATAACAAAGGGCAGACAGGTGATGGGAATAACGAACAACAAGGAACAGGTGATACTAATAATGAGACAAGGAACTGGAAGGACCAAATAAGGAAAACAGGAACTCAACGGGAACATACACATGACAGATTGCCCCCCTCCCGGACAGCGCGGTAACAGTACCATCGGGGAGGGGGGGCGGGCGCCCTGGAGGCTGGTGCAGGACTGGGACAGGGCGGAGACAAGGAGAGCCTCCAGGGCGGATCAGGAAGCCATGGCGGAGCAGGCAGTCCGGGTTGCCATGGCAGAGCCAGGGACTCGGGAGGCCATGGCGGAGCCGGGGACTCGGGAGGCCATGGCGGAGCCGGGGAATCAGGAGCCCTCCGTGGGCTATATTCGGGAA